TTCATGTTTCGTTTGATGAGACTAACCCCTCGAAAGAGGATAATATTATTATGAATGATGATGATGATATAGTAGGTTCTCCACAACAACAAGAAGAGATTCCAAAGAATCAAGAAATACCACAAGAAGATGTCACTCAAATCATTGAAGAACATAAAGATCTTCCGAAGGAATGGAGAACGCATAGAGATCACCCGATAGATAAAGTTATTGGTGATATTAGCCAAGGCGTTGCAACTCGACTTAATCTAAAGGATGCTTGTCTCAACATGGCTTTTGTGTCTCAAATGAACCAACCAAGATTGATGAAGCTTTAGGCGACGACCAATGGATTGTAGCAATGCATGAAGAACTCAACCAATTCGAAAGAAATCAAGTTTGGAGTCTTGTACCAAGACCAGACCATAAGCACATCATAGGAACAAGATGGGTGTTCAAGAACAAACTTGACGAGAATGGGATCATAGTTCGTAACAAAGCAAGATTGGTCGCACAAGGCTACAACCAGGAGGAAGGAATTGATTTTGATGAAACGTTCGCTCCGGTAGCAAGGTTAGAAGCAATTAGATTACTACTTGCTTACGCTTGTTCTATGAATTTTCAGTTGTTCCAGATGGATGTCAAAAGCGCTTTCCTGAATGGATACATTAATAAGGAATTCTATGTCAAACAACCTCCGGGTTTTGAAGACTTCAAGAATCCCTCACATGTCTACAAACTGAAAAAGGCACTCTACGGACTAAAACAAGCACCAAGAGCATGGTATGACCGCCTTAGCAATTTCTTATGTGAGAAAGGATTTACAAAAGGAAAGGTTGACAAGACATTGTTCATAAAGAAGATCAAAGGAAACACTTTATTAGTTCAAGTCTATGTCGATGACATCATCTTCGGATCAACAAACAAAGAACTTTGCGAAGAATTTTCACTTATGATGCAAGGAGAGTTCGAGATGTCCATGATGGGAAAATTGAATTATTTTCTTGGACTACAAATCAAGCAAACTAAGGATGGCATCTTCCTCAACCAATCCAAGTATTGCAAGGAATTGTTGAAGAAATTCGATATGGATAGTTGCAAGGTAATGTCCACTCCTATGGGATCCAGAACGTACGTTGATCAAGATGAATTCGGTACTCCAGTTGATATAACAAAATATCGAGGTATGATTGGTTCATTACTATATTTGACGGCAAGCCGTCCAACGCTTATCCTTCATCTTCTCCAATTCAAACTCAGATGGAGGGAAGCTATTCCGGTGGTGGTCCAGTGGTCCTCAATCGTCTTCTCCGGTGAGCAGATAATTATAGGTCATGAAAACTTCACAAAACTTATACAGATCCACTCCAAATTCCACGTAGAACTCAAATATGATCTCCAAATTTCCTAAATCCTCATAGATTATCAAACACGATAGAGATCTTAAAATATGCATAATTTTGTAACCTCACCATTCCTCAAACTAAAACCATAGATCTGTTCCTCTTGTTACACTGATCATCCTCAACTAAATAGATCATGTAGAATCCTCAAGATCAGATCAATTCAACCTCAAACAGAAATTACATTGCATCCTATTTTGTCTCTAATCATCCAGATTTCTATCCAAAATCCATCTATGCTTCAACCTAAAGCTTAACCACATACTAATCCAGGCTAGATCATGCTAAAATCAGTGTAAATTTGAAAGTTACATACCTGGTTTTGAGCTTCAAATTGAGGCAGTTGTAGAGTGTTTCTGAGCTTCAAATCGTGCAGAAACATTCAAGGAAGTGTGCTGAAGAAAAAGGACACCTTGAATTGCTTTGGAAACCTCTCAATCAGAATTCACGATTCTCACTTTTTGCTCTTGAACTCAAACTTCAATCTCTGCTTCCAGCACGAATCAATCACCAAAATGGAGCAAAACCTTCTTCTGAACTTAAATAGAGATGGTTTATGGGCTTTTGAGGTTCAATTGAGGCCCAAATCCAGAAATCCACATTTCACTTTTCTTCCAAAAAACCAACAATGGTACTGTAGAAGCATGCTTCAATCTCAAGTTTTGATGATGTCAACACTACTCAAGATCATCTCTTGGTTGCAAAAAGTCAAGTATTTTAAAGGAATCAAGATCAAGTCAAGCTATCAGTCAAGTCTTTTAAAGGAATCAAGATCAAGTCAATCTATCTTTCAAGTCAAGCTACATATGGAACTATGATTCTTCAAGACTTGGATGCATTGCGGGTATATCAAAATCTATCCTTATAATTGATATACAAGTGTTCAAAAACATCAATCATTTTGGCATATTACATTAGCATGTTTTTGAAACTTTAGAATTGGTATAACATTTATTCTTAAAAGCATTTTTCTGAAAAATAGCAGTGTTAACCGATTAACCATATAGGTTAACCGGTTAACCATTTCAAATTTTAAATATTCTGGTATAACGTTCCAGTGTTAACCGATTAACCATATAGGTTAACCGATTAACGCTGAACGAATTTTGAAAAATGGCTTTGTTTCAAGTTCAAAAATGGTTTGAAAATTATACCACTTCATATGTTGAATTATACTCAAATAATCATGTTGGAAAAGGTGTGTTTACACATATAAATTCTGAGTTTTTCAATTTTGAAAAACACCTCCAACCTCCAAAACACCTCCAACATTCATTTTCAAATATTCTTAGAATCAAATTCAGCATTTTCAAAAACCTTTCAAAGTGTTCATAATTGCATAAAAATTTTCATATTCATCTGTTAAACACTTGTGTTGAAAATTATAAGAGTGAATTTTGATCATTTGGAGAAGATCAATTTTGATTGATATTATTATTCACAAAACAAAATCATTACAAGTATTTGTATTCTGACTTGTGATCCAGGATTGTTGGACACAAGGGTGAGTGTTTACAAGAGGATTGTTCTTGTACACTTGTTAGGTTTATTGTTTGATAGTAGGCCTCACCGGTTGATGGTGTGATAGGCTGTACTTTATTAAACAATAGTGAAAACTCTCTTTCATGTTGAAAGGGGAGTGGAGTACTCTCGGATTGTGAGGGGAACCACTATAAATCCTGGTGTCCACTGTTCTTTTACTTTCTACTGCTTTCATAACCAAGAACACAAACCAGTAAAATTTCAAGAAACCAAAAAAACCGGAAAAAGTTCTAAAGTCCTAATTCACCCCCCTCTTAGGCATACTCTGTACTTACAGGTACGCATGAGTTTTGGCTCAAATCTTCCCTTGGAAGCTTTCAATCAACTCCTTGCGGTCTGTTGAGGGAGTCTAGAGTGGTTAGAGTGCTTGAATTCATCATATGAACAAATTTGGATGTGTGGCTTACTTGTGAAGTAACAAACCATAAAGCTATGAAATTGACCTCAAATGAAAAATCCAATATTGCCAATATGTTTAGAATGGCTTTTCTAATTAAAATGAGCATTCATATGGCCTATTTTGAACACAAATGGATTAATCATGAATTTTTTAATTAAATGCCTTTAAATTCTTCCTTTTGCAAAATTTCTCAAACCAAGTCTCACCCTAAGCCAAATAAATTCATCATGAGGACATGGTTGACCTAAAAACATCATTTTGAGCAAGTTTTGTGTTGAACAAAATTTCATTTGAAGCTTGCAAGATGGAGAAAATGAGCTATAATGCCAAATGACCTATAATCTTACTTTCCCAAAATACCCCTAACTTGTAAACCTCATAACTTGAGTTCTACAAATCAGATGGAAGATTTATAATACAATTTGGAAAGCTAAGATCCGTACCTACAACTTTCATGTTGGCCAAAAGTTTAGGAGAAACACCCTTCTAGGTCAAACGTTCCATGGAAGTTGGTGAACTTTCTCAGACAAATTTCACATTCCTCAGATGACCTGTAAATTGTCTGGACCATAACCTGAGTTCTATAAATCCAATGGAGTACTTCTAGTACTCAAATTAAATATAAGGGAATTCTCTACAAGTTTCATGTTGGCCAAAAGTGGAGATGAAACTTGTATCTTGAGATAGGTGGTCTTGAAGTTAGGCACTTAATAGGGGATTTTACCATGAGAACCCTAATTTAGCAACTCCTCACACTTTGAATTCTTCTTGCATAGATCTTGGAATATCATCTCATGTATCTCAACACAACTATCCATGATTACAAAGACTCAAAAATGAGCTTTGACCCTCTTCAATTGCACAGTTGACTTATGGTTACTCAGATGAAAACCCTACTTGCAACACCCTCAACTGTGGGTCTTCACACTTGACACTATGATTTGATTGGACTCCACCATGATCCTAAAGACACCCTATGAGCTCTATCCACACACTCTCTCCTTGATCAAGGCCTCACAATCCACTGATGATCTTCAATTGGTCCTCAGATTAGGAGATTAACCTCATACAAACAACTGAACTTCTCAAGGACCCAACTCTCTTCTTGATGACTTTGGTGACTTCTCAAGCTTGAACAAGACCTCTAAATAGGCTCTTCTGGATATAAACCACACTTGATCCCCTGCACAAATGAATAATTCTATGCTATGCAAATGTTAGATCAATGATATGCTAATGCAATGAAACATAAACCCAGTAAGAAAAGGTTAGGCAAATTTTGGGGTGCAACAAATTGCAGATGAACTTTGAAGGTTGATGCGAATTGTAGCAATTGCAGAGTTTGGAAATTGAAACTGAGATGTGAATATTTTTGCAGTGAAGAGGATGAAGAAGTCTCGTCTTATTCTGCTCTTTGTTAGTGGTTTTTTATATCAGAAATTGGAAGGGTAGGATATGTATTTGATTGAGTTTGTTAGGATTTTCACTGATTCCTTTCTGTTAGAATTTGTCCTTTCTGAAAAGTGAGATTGGGTTATGTGAACTGTTGTGGCATTGTGAAATATTTTTGAATATCTAACTGTTGTGTATTTTGGTCTGTAATGTAATGGACCTATTTCGGTTATGAAATTTTTTATCGTGATTCATTACAGTAAAACATGAATTCTGTTATGGTTTCATTGCAGTAAAAAAAAGAATTCTGTTATGGTTTTGTTTTGGTGTGGACTTGGTGTAGTGTACTGGTTTGCATTAGAAACAATGTCCATGTTGGGCTTGTATGTCTTCTCGTTCACTCCTACCACAAACATTGGTGCATCAGCAGATGGAGTTGATATTATAATTTTCTTGGCACCAGCCTTCAAATGTGATGAAGCTTTCTCTAGTGTTGTAAAAGCTCCTGAAGACTCTATGACATAGCCTGCACTAAAGTCATCCCAAGGGATCTCCGCAGGATCTCTCTTGCTCACAACTATAACCTGCTTCCCATTAATTTCCAAAGTTGTGTCATCCAAAACCTTAATAGTTCCCTTGAATGGTCCATGAGTAGAATCATACTTGAACATAAATGCCATATATTTAGCATCAATAAAAGGATCATTAATGGCAACAACATCAATATCATCCCGTGAAGTAGCAACATGTAACACTAACCTTTCAATTCTACCAAAACCATTTATTCCAACTCTTGTATTCCCAGTGCTGCTTGATTTTTGTACAGGGAGAGGGGTTTCCGTTGCTGTAGCGCTGATAGGCTGAATGCTCTGGGCATTGCAGTTCTGTAAGACTAATGGATCACATGGAAATGAAGTTTCGAGTATACTATTTTGTAACCTTGTGGACTTTGAGTTAATACTTGAGTGATGTACCTGAAAGCGATCAGAGGAGTAATATAAAGAAACGATCGCAGATATGAGAAGAGAAGAAGCGACCATTGGAAAAGCAAAAACCCTAGAAAACAAAGACTATGTTCTTTGAATTTTGCACCAACAACCTAACATTTTGCAACTCAATCAACAGATACATTGCCTTTATAACAAATGATCTTCGTACAAGATCAAACCCCTGAAGAAAACTTAAATATGAGGACAAGGTATGATGTAGAAAGAACATTACCAGCTAGAGGTCTTTAACATGAAACCCTAACCCACTTTGAGATACACTGATACTGATGAAATGACTTGAACTAAGAAGGAATCAAAACCCTAAACCATACCAATGAACTCCTGACCCAATGCTTTTGATGAATCCTCTGAATAGGAAAACCATGGAGCTTTATGAACCTCTTTGAATATGTCAAACACTAATAAAAAGAAAATCCTTTGATCCCACATCATAGAAGACCAATGGAATGTATGATTATGAGTTATGACCCAATGATGATGCAAACGAACGTGAAGCAAAATCCAGAAAAAGTTATAAAACGTGAGGGGAAATTTTGGGGTGCTACAACTCTATGTAAGGATCATTGTCATGATTACTTACTCCCCTCTTGGCTTTTGTCAAAATCATTTCCCTTTGAGTGTCTAACTTAGATCTAAAGAGTTTTGTTAAACTCTACACAAACATTGTTATGTTTGTTCCCCTTGGAGTCTTAACCATAGTCAATTATTCCTTAACCCTAGTGAGGAGAACTACGGTTGCTCTGATTCCATCCTAGTCAGGATACGTAGGCACAAGATGCAATATCTTTGCGAGCAAACCTAGAATTATTCTTAGGTATTTACCTAGAGCTTTACCCTAACCTTGATCTAATAAAGCTAGAAAACACTTAGATAACTTAGCATACACACACAAAAGGTTCACGTAGAGTATACAGATGTCTGGGATGTGAAATACCTAACCTAGGCATAATCAACTCCTGATCCCCAAATCTTTAGCATTGTTGTTACATCGCGCAAAAAGGTTATTTCGTTCTTTAACCTTTTCTTTGGATAAATCAAAGATCGGTGGTGAATTTCAATGAATTAAGATTCAAGTTAATCAATAGCTTCATATCTAATTCTCACCGCAACAGAAATGGCGACTTCAATGAGGAGAAATTATTTGCTTGAGGGTTTAACCCACTTTGTATATGTTTATTTGCTATATTTTTGTATGCCAATACATGTATATTTATAAATATATGACTGTGTTATTTTCATTGGATCTCTGGGTGATATCTTGAATGGTGAGATAAGTCCTAACCTAGACTTGAGTGCACATATGATAGGATGTGGTATGATCAATAGTTAACTGTTGGGAGTAGTCCTAACATGTTTGACATATGATGTAACCACACTCAATTGAGACCTCTTTGAAATAATTAATGGTGTATGAGTAGTCATGCATTTCATTGGTTGTTTCAACCTGAGACTCCGTGAAAATGAGGACCTTTAGTTACCCACTTACACCACTTGGCCTTTTTAGGACGTAGTACGGAGACTATAAGGGAGTAATCCCGAAATAGTTGTTACGCGATGCTACACTTAGACGAGTCTATCCCAAGAATATTTCTGACCCACGTGAGTAGTCATGTTGATTGATAATATCCGAGGGATTTACCTATGACTCTGGGCACTCTTGATAGAACCCAATCTACAGGTACATTGAAAACCTTAGTACATGTCCTTTGGGAGGGTATACCCTGGCTTCATGCTTGTAACCCCAAAACTAGGGCCTTTGCTTGTTAGAATTTGCATGTGTGTGCTATGTGTGCATCATAGCATCTCATCTTGGTGCACTGGTTTTGTAAAACTCAGTCGTTTTCTTTTTTCAAAAACCTAGTTATTATGGATTTTGGGAAAAGAAACACTAAGAAATATAACTTCAAGAAATGTGACACATTGGAGTTGAGAAAGCTAGGGACAATGGTATCCGAAGACTTTGGGAAGACATATGGAAAGCTTCTGAGCATTGTGAAGACTAGGATGGAAGAAGGGGTTCTCAACACCTTAGTTCAATTCCACGATCCGTTGTACCACTGTTTCACCTTTCCAGATTATCAATTGATGCTAACATTAGAAGAGTATTCCTACTTCATCGGAATTCTTGTGAAAGATAAGAGACCTTTCAGTGGTTTAGAGAAGCTACCCTCGCCAAAAGGAAATTGCTGGCACCCTCTATCTAGAAGTATATGAGGTCAAAGCCAATCATACTTCAAAAAATGGGGTCAAGGGATTTCACTCTGCTTGCTTGTTGAAAAAGGCTACCTACCTTGACAAGGAAGGTAGTATGGACATATTCGAAGCAGTGTTGGCTCTACTGATATATGGTTCAGTATTGTTCCCAGAGGTAGAAGAATTCGTCAATTCAACTGCCATCACAATATTCTTGAATGGTAACCGGTACCCACCCTGTTAGGTAATGCTTATCATTCCATTCATCACAGGACCCTTCAAGGTAGAAGGACTATTAGCTGCTGTGCACCCTTGTTATACAGATGGTTTGTCAATCATCTACCAAGAACAGATGCTTTCAAAGAAAATCCTAATGGTTGGAGATGGTCTCAAAGGATTATGTCTCTAACCCAAGTAGACATTCATTGGTATGATCCTGCCTATGACCGAGGAGTCTACATTGATACTTGTGGTACTTTTCCGAATGTACCACTATTAGAAGTACAAGGGGGGATCAATTACAATCCTACCTTGGCCAGATGTCAATTTGGATTCTCGGTGAAGGATAAGCCTAACAACATCCTCTTGGCTGTGTAGCTGAACTTGGGAAGAAGAACCAAAGCTGATCTTGGGAAAAGGAACTGTGTAGCTTTTGAGCCATTCACTCAGTGGGTCCAACCTAAAGCTCGTGATCTCAAGATGCCTTACCTTCCTGAGAAAAATATGCAGATTGTCATCGTGTCATCTTCTGCCGTTCCCATTGAAAGTATGGAAAAATACCAAGAGATTCTTGAAAGAACAAAGCTTGAGAGGAATACTTGGGAAGACAAATGCCATACTTTGCATGTTGAGATGACAGAATTGCAGAGGGAGTTGCAAGACAAAGATGAGTTGATTGGTTGGCTCGAAATACGCATAACTGATGGAGATGTGACAAAGGAGAATTTATTTTTCTCTAGCGTCAAACCCACGCAGAGTACTCATGAATATTCGAACATCCCACCAACTTCTGGCGCTTGGAAGGAAATATTAGACAAGTTGGTGATGGAGAATACTATGTTGAAAAGACTGAAGAGGACACGCGGATAGAATTCTTGTCAGACTTCCTAACCATAGGGCCTAAGCTCTCTCCTCCGATATAGCCTCACATTTCTTGGGTTATATTTCAAAAGTTGTAACTTTTCCCAACATAAATGAAACAAGGGTTTTTGCTTTAATTATCTTCTGAGTTTTGTAAAACCAGATGTGTCTTTGCATTACATTCTGCATTTTTGCTAACCATTCAAGGAGTTCAAAATTTATTTTTTTGCAGACATAGTGATGGATCAGAGAAATATGATTACATTCCCAAGCCTGAGGTTAGATAAGCTAAGGATTTTAAGGAGCCTCGTAAGGAATCCTGCTGCTTTCATAGCCAAATATGGGGACTTATTACCTCTGTTAGATACACCAGTAAATGAAGAAACGCTGCAAGCCCTCGTGAAATTTTATGACCGTTGTACCATTGCTTCACATTCCCAGACTTTCAACTACTACAAACCTTGGAAGAATACTCCGAGTATCTAAAAATCCCTATGACCTTCACACCTAACTATGGAAGGAAGAAGAAACCAAACAGAAGAGATGTGGCTGGAGCCCTTCATCTAGAGCCTACTGACCTTTCATGGAGAGAGTTGAGTTCTATTATGATCGAGGGGATTTGGAAATCTTTAAAGCTATATTGGCTTTCTTAGTTTACAATTTATACTTGTTTCCCAGCGCACCTGAGTTCATCAGCCTGGAAGCCATCAAGCTATTTATCGTCAGAAACCCAGTTCCCGCTCTTTTGGCTGACACTTACTACACCATTCACCGGTGGAAGGTGTTTAATCTCAGACAATTCTCTTACTGCACAACACTCCTTAGCAAGTGGTTTATTTCACACTTGCCTAGAATATTCCCTCTGTGGAAACTTCAGGATAATGATGCTTGGATTGGAAAAATGGTTACACTCTCTCATTACGACATCAGTTGGTATGATGTGACTCATGGAGGAGTAGCCATGATACACAACTGTGGAGAATTCCCAAATATGCCGCTAATCGGTATCAGAGGATACATCAATTACAGTCCTATCCTTGCTCGGCATTAGCTATGATACCCCACTTAGAAAGAACCAGAGTTGGCCCAGCTAGAAACTTGCTTATGTGACAGGGATGCTGATCTAGATCTTGAAGCACAAATTATCTATGCTTGGCGTCACCCCAAACTGCAAGGAATGATTGCTGTGGAAAATCCAAGTTGTCTCGTTTCGAAGGAATATCTCTTTTGTTCAAAGGTGATAGCACTAAAAATGCTCTATACTCAATCCTACGACATTACTCTAGAGCCAGAGAAGCTTTTATCTAGGGGAGAATTGAAAGTTGCTTTGATGAAAGCTGAACAGGAGAATGCGGAACTTTGGGAGATGCTCTGACAAAGTCAAAAAAGATAAGACTGCTGGAGGGAGAAAGGTCATCTTGTTAGAAGATCCTTAACTATTAATTTCCCTTTGTTGTTGTACCCCAGGCTTATGGGAACATGTAATCTTTCATTTCGTAAAATGATTGAAAAAGCTTCATTTGTTAATGAAGGCTTTATGTTGTAAAACTCTTTTTTTAATGAAAGTTTTGTTAAACTTTCATCACGTCGTTACATGCTGATCCATTAATTTTGTTCGTAAACAAACTTTTTTGTTTCTCCTTGAATGTGTGGTCTGCATTAGCATCCTACATTTCATCTTTGCATTTCTTCAGTCCTCCGGCTTATCTCGTGTGTTGTTGATATCAGAGAAAGAGAAAGAGTCACGCTAAATACTC